AGCCATTCAAATCATTGATGTTGATGATGACAACGTCAATGATGACGAAGATAATGAAGATGTTGACAATGATGACGTGAAGTTGATGCAGCCACTGCGATGCTGCTGATGATGACGATGACAATTATGATTAAAATGATGAGAAAATGATAATGATAAAAGTAATAATGTTTATAACTCATGTAATATTAAAATAACTATTCAAAAAGGTGTATTATTAAATTTTTTTAAATTTTATAAATACATTTTATTTAATCATTGTTTTATCTTGTAAAGTATTTCATAATGACAAATTTTTTCCGACTCTCTTTACGTCAAGACGACGATGATAATGATGATAATGATCATCATCATCATTATCATCATCACACAAAGATGCATCATTCATTCATCGTCGTCATCATAATTCATATAACCACATCATTGCTTTTAACCTCTTTATCATGTGAATTACATTAAATTATATAGAAATTATATAAAATTATAGAGAAATTTCATGCCGAAATATATAGAAACATATAGAATGTATGAAAATATATTGAATTATATATATATATATATATATATACATATATACATATATATATATATATATACATATATAACTATATATATATATATAATATGAAATGTTATAAATTATTATATAAAATGATTTATTGTGTTATTTTGGTATTGGAGGGTTGTTAAAAAATATAAACTATTTTATAAAAACCTCATAGTCTTCTACTTTTTCAAAATAAAATAATTATATTAATAAAAGCACCAATAATAATGATATTATTAAAATTAATAATAAAAGCAATAATAATAATAAAAGCAACAATAATAATGGTAATAATAATAATAATAATAATATAAAACAACAATAATAATGATAATAATAATAATAAACAAAATAAAAACTCTAGAGATAATGTTTCATTCTCAGTTTTCAACAGCAAACAACTAGTCACGTGATATTTTTCAATGTTTTTGTCGAGAAAACAACAAAAACAGCAATAATTATAATAATAATAATAATTGTTATTATTATTATCATCATAATAGTATTAGATTTAATTAACTAATAACTAATAGTATAGCTATAATAATAACAATACTACATTTACTTACTTTATAATCAGATCCTATTATATATATATATTATATATATATATATATATATATATATGAATTAAGCAATTATAGCACTTTTTATAATCTATAGTTCTGCAAGAAAGCTTACCAGCCATAAATAAGGATGTCACAAATTTGTTTGACTCGCCATTTTCTTTCGACGGACGGGCACTTCTTATCAAGGAAGGAATGGAGATCACGATTTTATTATCCATAATTTATTTCATATCTCATTGGAACAAACTGCCGGCTGATTCCCAGAGGTACAAAATACAGTTATAGAATATTGAGGTCTTGTTTCTGTCGCGGTTACTGAATGTCCATTTTCTAACCTTTACGTGTTGGAGACTGGTGTCACGGACTTTCTCTGATAACTGCGTCTGAATGTAAGGCTTCAAAATGCAGTCGAAATGATGTCCGTGGTTGGAAATCGTCAAGTTTAACTTCAGTCTCTTATTAAAAGCTGGATGGCAGCTCGATTTCAAATGATTAACTATGTCGAACCAACTGTCATTTACCTATAACAATAAAAACTATCTCACTAACATCTTAAGTAAACTAGACATTAAATTGTTCATAAAATAATATCTATGCATCTCACTCACTCACTCACCCACTCACTCACTCACTTACTCACTCACTCACTCACTCACTCACTCACTCTCACTCACCCACCCAATTGACCTTTACGCCACAACAACAACACCGGTCAAACAACAACAGCGTGCAAACATGAAACAGAACCACATTTAGTAAAACTTTCAAGTGGCTCGCATTCACAGATAAACAATCAATCAATCAATCAATCAATTAGCTTATAAAGCGCTATTTCCGCGATGTTCAACAGCGCTCCTCAATGAATTTTGAAAACAGATGGGTCTTGAGATCCGCTCTGAACTTCGCAAGCGATGGAGAAATAGTTAGAGAAGTAGGCAGAGAGTTCCAGAGAAAAGGACCAGAAAAAGCAAAAGCAGATTTGGCAAAAGAGTGTTTAACACGAGTTAAGAAAAAGCGAGAAGAAGAAGACGATCGTAAACCGGGGCGTTTAGGTTCAATTAATATATCTGATAAGTACTTAGGAAATAATTTAGATTGAGACTTATACATGAACGTGCAAATTTTAAAAATTATTCTATATTTTATAGGTAGCCAGTGCAAGAGAACAAGATATGGAGATATATGAGAAAAGAAAGGGGCACGAGCAACTAGACGAGCAGCAGAGTTAAAAGCTTTACTTAAAGGAAAGAGTATAGAGTCAGGAAGACCATAGTAGAGCGAGTTACAATAATCAATCCTAGATAAGACTAACGAAGTAACAAGAAGGAGAAGAGTAGGATCATCAAGAAAAGGCAAAAGTTTTTTTATTCTACGTAGATGAAAGTAAGAGCTTCTAGCAACACTATTAATCTGAGAAGAGAGAGACATAGTAGAATCAAAGATAAAACCTAGACTACGAAACTTATGAGAGACATCAAGAGTTTTAGAATCAGGTAAGATAATAGGAGGAATAGTAATTGAGTGTTTAGATTTATTAAAACAAATTAATTCAAACTTAGAAGGATTAAGTTTAAGACACATAGAATCAGACCAAGCGATAATCGAAGAAAGACATAGAGATAAATTATGAAGAACATTATTGAGATTAGATGGAGGAAAAGAAGTATAAATATAAGAATCATCAGCATATAGTTGACTAGAGAAAGAAAAGTTATTAATAATACGAGGTAGTTCAGAAGTATAGAGTATAAATAGAAGAGGGCCAAGGATAGAACCCTGAGGTACCCCGAAAGTAAGAGTAGAGGAGTTAGAAGTAGAATTATTGAGAACAACAGAAGAAAAACGATTACAGAGATAAGAAGAAAACCAAGATAGACAAGAATCAGTAATATTAAAAGAAAGATGCAGCAGTCTCAACTTATGTTTTAATAGTAGTTTTGTGTGTCAAATTAATTAGTTTACCGTGTTCATCAAATGGTTGAGGTCTTTTTTAAAACCTCGAAACACCAATTAATAAGGTAAAATTATACTTGGATTTTAAGCGTGCACCGTGCATATATATATATATATTTATATATATATACATATATATACATATATATATATATACATATATATACATATATATACACTTATGATATACAATAACAAACTTGTTTGTTATACAACGTATGTTCTGGCATGATTGACGGAGAAAGCATCTTTTCAGAAGAGAAGTAGCAGCATCTCCCCTACTTATATATTGTATGAAAAAATACATATGATTAATAATTGATATATTTGTATGTGTGTATATTTATTACTTTGTTATGTATGTATGCCCCATGAATGAGCATGTATATCTGTTGGATAGTTAAATTAGGCAGAATTTGAGCGATTGAGATGCTATGTGTGACAAATGCAATCGAACTGTACTTATTTTAATAAAAACTGATTTAAACTTTATACAAATGTAACATTTTAAATATGACTTTAAAATACTTTTAAAAATGAATAATTGATTGATTGAAATCTGTAAGCAATTGAGTAAATTTCAATAAACTAATTAATGAGCTCAAATGATTAATTTAAACTGAAACTAATTGTTGTAAAAATAATTAATTGTCCATTGAATCGAGAACATCGAACTAATTTTAAGAAATATTTTAACATTTTGTGTTTGTGTAATCTGCAATAATATTTGCGAAATGTTTTTATTCATTTGTAATTATAAAAATTATTTTTTTACGTCTGCAATTTATTAATTTTTGCACGATCGCATGCTTATTTTAAAGTTTTAATCAGATTTCTTTCAAATTTTGTTTTGTTTTAACAGTGCCATGCAAAATAAATGTTAAATATTCAAATGCTTCAGGTACTTATTTTTTAAACTTTTCTTAAAAATTTTGTTTATTATCTTGAAAAATTGATGATTTCTTACTAACAAATAATTTTTTAAATCGTATGATTAGTTACTCAAATTTAATTGCACTAACTCGTTTTTGTTTGTCTCAACTTCTTACAAATTTTGATTGATGAATTTTTGAAAGTTAAAGGTGGGTTCTGGTTTTTGGCTTGCAGCCTGGTTCTTTTTTTTTGTTTTTTGTTGGTTAAAAATTCAGCTAACTGTTTTTTAATTCAATTCAATTTAATATTAATTATTTAATTAACTTCGGTTTTGAAACTAATTAATTCAAATTTTAACTGATAATTGCAAAACAAATTGCTTCTTACTTTTTTAAAAATTCACACATTTCATTGCTGTTTTCATTCATAACTGAAAAAACACATGACAACACAACAAAGTACCATAATAATGTTGTCTAAACATTACAATTATGAGTGTGGGACTTATTCTAACATTATTAAATAGATATATATATATATATATTATGTATGTATATATATATGGGTAGAATCAAAGTAAACACATATATAACTTAATAATTTCTTCATTTAGATGTCAAATCAAAAATATCGAAGAACAAATTTTGAAGAGGAAGACAGTTCACGTGTAGAATTACCATCCCCATCTACAAATTTTGATCCAATGGTCGGCTTCCAGCAGTACAAGCTGAACTTCTGGCGTAGGAGATCGACATTAGAGAAGGTTCTTGCACTCCTGCTTCTTCTTTCCTTGCTCATTATTGCCATTTTAGCTGTTGTCATCCATCTTAAAAGTCATACAAAGTCACCGGGACCGGAAGGTACCTATAAATAATCCTTGAAATTGTCATTGTTGTTGATTTTAACATCATCGTTATAGAAGATTTTATAATTATCTTAGTGAATATTATTGGTTTCATCATCATTGAAGCTATCACTGTGATGCTATCATGTCATTATTAACTATATCTATCACAAAACTATTTATGTTATTTTAAAATTTAATTGTTTAATCTACTGTGGTCACATTTTAACTGTGATTGATATTTTAATTATTTCCAATGCCTGCCATTAAAATTGTTATGATTATTAATAACCATTATCTGTATGTATATTTTAGGATAAAACAATATTATTTTTGATAGTGCTTGATGGTAACAGAGCCCAAAATCATTCTTATTATCTATGTAGAAAATTAATTAAGTTCATATTAATTACAAAATATTTAGTCTCTTATCGATTAATTTAATTTCTTTGGTTGCTCATCTTTCAGGAATAGAATCAACGAGTACTTGTTTAAAAAAATCTTGCATAACTGCGGCCAGTTCGATCCTGAACTCCATCGACGAAAAAGTGGACCCCTGCAATGATTTTTACGAATTCGCATGTGGCACCTGGATGAAGTCGAACCCCATACCCAACGGCCACGCTGAGTGGGACACATTCACCATCCTCAAAGAAGAGAACAACAACATTCTGAAGAGATATCTAGGTTAGACTATTTTTTTTTCGTTTCTTGTTATTTATCTTTGTTTCATTTTGTTTATTACGATTACTTCCTGGCCATTGTTCATTGGTGATTGTTGTTCTGGTTTCTTGTTATTTATTCTTATTTTTAAATTTTTTTAATATATGTGATTATTTATTTACATTTTTTAACAACAACAATAAAAACAACTTTCTGTTGTTTTTATTGTTGTTTCTTCCTTTGTTTATATTATTTCTGCCTGTCTTTAATCATGTTTA